TCAGAGGTCCTTCCTGCCGCCATCATCAGGGCGAAGAGTACTCGTTGGTAAACTTCCACTACACTACACGGCGATACAACCCAGAAGATAGCCATCTTCGTACTCACCGCCGTGACAAACTCAGATCGTGTTTAATATCTAATGCAGGCTCCTGTGAGCTAGTTTAACAAGTTGTGCCTAAACAGCTGCTAAGGCTATAATGTTGCCTGTTGTCCCTCTCAGTCTTAGGAAACAACACACAATAACGATGTTTGAAAATAAATTTGTCAGGGAAAACTCTGAAACCATGAAATATGAAGCAACAGGAGATGGAAAACTTTAAACAACGAATAACTTCACAAGTACTCTTTAACTTTGAAGTCTGGTCTTGGCTTCCACAAAAGTACAGGAATTTCTTGACTAGCTGAGCAACTATCAGCCTCTCAAGAAGGTCTCTGCTCTACGGGACTACAGGTAGCCCTCAATTTACGCCGATTCAGAATAACGCCGATTTTGAAACCAGAAAGTTAAAAAAAAATATATTTTACTATTATTTATAACGTTTTACAATGTTTCTCGTACTGATTATTATACTAAATCGTAATTCCTAAATCGCTGATTTTGAATAAAAATTATAAATAAAGTCATCTCTGCAATTACGTATGTTTCGTTAACGCTAATTTGCTCCAATGAGATCGATGAATCGGTAAAAGCTGTTTGTGAAATGCAAACTTTTGCATATGCGAGTTTGCTCTTATGCTACAGTGAAGGGGAGCGTTACGGCATCCATGAGACATCGTGAAATTTTGAAAGAAGGAAAGAATAAATCACGACAGTCCACACTACATGCCTTCTCTAAAATGCATGACGATCCTCAGCCAGGGACTTCGTCAGAGAACTAACGCCATCGCCGATTGTAAGTGTATAAAATATATTTTTTAAATTCCCTTTATTTTATTTACGTTATTTCAGAGCTTTAAATGTAATGGCATTATATTACTAGTCAATGTTTGGGTGCCGGGAACGCAAGTCATTGACTTCCCATTGATTTACATTATAAAAGAGTTTCAATTTACGCCGATTCCGTTTACGCCGGTTCGTCCAGGAACGCATCCCCGGCGTAAATCAAGGGCTACTTGTACATTACTACTGAAAACAGGTTCACATGCTCCTCAATAAAAAAAAAACTATTTGACCCATCGAGGAGACTACAGGAACTAAGGCCACAAACCCCCAAACTGTCGTAGGTTCGAGTCTCGGTGAACATGTTGGGCTTAAGGGTAATAATAATTTTATGATATTTATCGGTAAGTATCGAATGATAAGGCTTATGGTAAGCTTTCTGGCAGTAACTAATTGTAAGAAATGTTATCATTTGTCGAATTTATAACACTGTGGTCCAGGGGTCCATACGAACGGCTGACTGTGGTCCCAGGTCTATCTATATCCATAACTCGTCAAATGAAAACGAAAACAATGTTATGTACCTTGTGATTCTGCTACAAACAAGTTTTAATGCAAACAATAAACAAAGCAGACTCCAAATTTTGTCAACAGAATCTTCAGAACGCAAATTCACAAGATAGAAGTGTTGGTCTTGGCTGTACTTGTCATTGCAGTCTTATCAGGAAACATTTCGGTTTGGGTGTGGCCCCGGAAAACAGGAAATCGTATTTCGCAAAACCTTTCCGTGTCATGTCGACAGAATTCTCCCAGCAGTAAATAAGTAACGAGCTGTTCCCAAGTAATACTTGCACCAAACTTAACTTTTACCAAATGAGTTTTGAGGTTCTCACGGCGGCTAGTATGAAGCTGGCTGGCCTACTGCCTCCAGCATCAGGGAGATAACGAAGACAGATTGCACCTCCAAAACGTCGGTAAAGTTCTACCAGTCTACACGGCGTAACAACTCAGAAGACAGCCGTCTTCTGAACCCTTACTGGAATTCAATTTGGGATATTCTGAATTGTGACAGGTCTTTTACACTTTGGCCGTGAATTATTTAACGATGAATATGTACGGTGATATGGGAAATATTGAGAGGAAAGATTTGTGGCCAATTTAAATACTTTTTCAGGCATTCTGATGGAACCACTGGTCCTCTTGTCGAGAATCGAATCACTATCTCCTCACAAATCAGATACGTTACAACACACTTCGTCCTTTAGATCAGTTGTATTCAACCTGGGGTACGCATACCCCCGGGGGTACGCGAAGACATCTTAGGTGATACGTGAAATTTAAAAAATATATATATTATTTTATGATAAACACTGAATAATAGATGTAGATTATATACTATGTAAAACTTGAATTATACACCAACAACTTTGGGGGTACAAAGTTGAAGAGAAATTATATCTGGGGGTACGCGAACGAAAAAGGTTGAATACAACTGCTCTAGATTGCTGTAGGACGAAACGAGTGGAAATGTATATATTCCATGCAGTATACATTATATAAATGCCCTTGGTGATGCTTCATTCGGATGTCCATTTAACACATATACAAATATACTGTTGCAAGGCTAATACACGACAGACATGGTCATTTTTTTGTTTCATGAAATATTCACCACATTAAAAACGTTTAAACACGTAAAATTAACAAGACCTGCAGTTTACGCCACGCATAACGAGGAGTTTTAGAGAAAATTCGATATGAGGTTTCGGAACGGTTTTGATAAAACACTTATGCTCGTATTTATAATTGGTTGTTTATGACAGAACCTTTGGTGGGCATTCTTGAGCGCTGCTTGTACACGAGTTTCAAAAGCTTGAGTTTATCTGCTACGACTCCTACATACTGGAATCCCGTTCTTCACGGTAAGATGTATTTATGTGCTTTCGGACCTCCTGGGAAAAAAAAACTTCAAACAACGGAACACGTAGCAAGCCTTTTGTCAGCGTTGTTCTGTGACGATATGTTCTGATGGTAAGGAAACCAAAAAGAAGTAGAAGAACGTTTATTTTTTATTTATTTAGTGTTCTGTCTGACGACAGGTCCATATGAACAGGATCCTTCCATCCTTTTCTCGGACTGGGACCTGTTCATATACGTTCTTGGCAGATGATCCAGAAGTGGTTTGCCATTGCCTTCTTCTGTGTGTGAATGGAATAATTGTTGGGATGCCACGGAGAAACCGGGTAAGCCCCCGGAGGAAAACTCCGTGTTGCCTAGACCACGGCCTTGCCCAACACAAGTTATAAATTCGGGCACCGTCGGGAATCGAACCCCAGACCCCAGGATTACAAGGCCAGCGTTCTAACCGCTAGATCACCGTGGCTGAGAGAAGAACGTACAAGGAAAATTAAGAACTGTGGAGAGGAGTGCCGATGGGACGGATTGCAAAGGTCGGGAGGAGCTGACGGCACGAAAGAGAAAGGGAAATGAAGAAGGATGGTACAAACAAATTGTTTGTTCTCCGTTGAATTTAACGGGCTTTATACACTAGGGTAGTGTTAATAATCGCTTCCACCTGCAATAATACGCAAACTGTACGCCAACTAACAGATTTTTTTGAGTCACTCATTAATCTAGATGATTTAAGCATTTGAATTAAGTAACTCATCAATATTATCAAGAGGAGATTATTTTCTCCCTCAAATAGCATATATCAGAAATGTAGCATTCATAAACTACCATGAATATGAATTATTAACATGTGAAGAGAATATCTGGCTTTGTTCAATCCTGGTCAGAAATAATCTATGGCAGGAAGGTCCTTGCACATTCTGCAAAGTCATCATGAACTGGTACATCAATATTTCAATCAATGCAAAGGTCAATTCTGTGCAGGTTAAATGTGTGTCAACATCACTTAAGGTCAACTGATGTGGGAATTCATTTGAGCACGGGATCACCATAAGCAGATATGAAGCAATTTCTTCAGTGTTAAAAAATGAGAGGATGGAATTGTAATGAATGTCAATCATGCAACATACTAGGGTACCCATCAAATTAGACCTCAACAAAACTTTCTTTTGAGTGACCCAAAAGCTGACAGCCTTACTGCCACAGTAATTCCACTGCATACATGTGATATGGAGGAAACAGCTGATGCCTACACAGCAGTTCTTGCAAGATTGTGAGCTGTTATGGAGAAAAATAAGCATATCCAGCAAGAAGACAGGTAACATCGCCCTCCGACCTCTTGTGATTCATCAAAATTTAAAAACAAAAATTACAGTGGTACCACGGTTCCGGAGAATCTGACGTAAATACGTCTTTGTATTTAAATTATACAATTGAGTAAATAGTTTGATTAAAACATTGCTTATTTAACTTGAATTAGTTACGCTTAAGATGGCGCTGTGGTAGCTGAAATATGTTATAAAATTTCTGCACTTTAGAGTATCAACATTTCGTGCAAACACCGTATCTATACAAGATTTTGATCTAGTAGTACTACATTGAGGATTTGACATCAACATTAAGCCAAACGTTTCCTCCACAAATGTGACAAAGTTGTGACTCGGCGCTGGATCTTACACATCTTCGTAACTAACGATGTTTTTGCGGAATGACCCTTCCGTGTAGACGTATTTACGTCAAAAGAAGACAAGCCTAATTATCTTACACGAGTTCACAAATGCAGATAAAAACATTAAATGTGATGAACAATAATAATAAATAGGAATCCCTTACCTCAAACTTCGTTCAATTGTAAGAGACCACGATGTCCACCCGCAAAAATCAATTTAATCAAAACTAAAATGGAGAGAGTGGAGGGCAGAATCACAGATTTCTTAATAATTCTCATATAAGATAAGTACTTGTGATATTCTAAAACGTTTTTAACAGCACAATATTATCTACTCTACGACGCACTTCTACAAGCGATTCACAGCTCAGCTCTTTCCAAAATAACGAAAGCGGATTGTTGACGACAGTAATGAAACACAACAATGCCGAATAAACAGATGACATAACAATTAGTTTCTTAGGTAAAGGAGTGGATTGCAACACAGTTTATTCAGGCAATTATACAGCATGCATAATAAATGAGAAAAGAGCCTTACGGCATGCTCAGCCAATATTGTTGCAGGCGTGTGTTAGAAATTCGAATTTTTTATGTAATTTGGAACATGGTAGACCATTTCACATGTTCAATCAATTAAACAGCACACTGATGCACTCTCACGTGGACCAATGCCAATCACTGCCAACACCATAGCCTCACACAGCAGATGTACTTGAACACAACAGTGGATCTTACATGAGAGCTGAATGACTTAATATCTGCACATGATGTGAAATGTACTTTCTTTGTTTTCAGTGTTTAACTTGTGGTGATACTATAAACATAAAAAATCACTGAAATTGTTTTAATAACTTAAGAATGCTGTTAAGAAGACTCACTCATGAATGGAGAAAACTATGTATGAGTTTCATATACCATGAATAGCGGAAATGAGAAAGATTTACAAAATCTTTGCCAGGAAGCCTCAAAAGATTGAGATTATGCTGGAGACACTGGCACAGATAGGACACTTAAAATTAATGTTATCTTATCTGTGATGAGTGAATCAAACATGTTCAAATGGGAGAAAAGACTAAACCAATATGAAAATTATGAATAAAATGGTATGTGGATCAAATGAAAATGATGTATTCAAAATGGTTAATAACAACAGATATAAGTAAAAAGCAATTCTTAATCCAGAGGATAGTTACTCTGGGCCATTTGGAAATTCCAGGCATAAACAGGCCAATGACATTTGCACAATTCCTGTCCCTCTAAACTGAATAAGATAGAATGGGTACATATTAATCAAGCCTCACTAATAAAACCGTGAATTTTACATTTTTCCTGCAGCGTCAATTACTATAATCTATAGCAAATATACCACAAAAACACACATAAAACCAGAATGGAACATGGATGATTATTAATAGAACAAAACCTCCAAAAGAAAACAATATGGCACAAAGATTTAATAGGCCTGACAACTAAATAACTGGACTGATTCAGTTATACAAGCATATATATAGAGAAATGGTTATAACCTCTATATTTCCAATGCAAAGAAAATGAAAATAATTTTTACATGTACCTTTTTAAATGGGAATGCCTACTTACTTCCCACCCACCCTGTATATATATATATAT